AGCTGAGATGGGGTCTATGGACACCAATCAGGTCTGGGATCTTGCAGAACCACCCGGTGGGATACGTCCCATTGGATGCAAGTGGGTTTACAAGAGAAATAGGGGATCGGATGGAAAGGTGGAAACCTTTAAAGCTAGGCTTGTTGCAAAAGGTTATACCCAGAAAGAGGGTATCGATTATGATGAAACCTTTTCACCAGTAGCTATGCTTAAATCCATTTAAATTCTTTTAGCTGTAGCCGCTCATATGGATTATGAAGTGTGGCAGATGGATGTTAAGACAGCTTTCCTTAATGGGAACCTTCAGGAAGACATCTATATGCAGCAACCAGAAGGATTCATTGCAAAAGGGCATGAGCACTTAGTTTGTAAGCTTAATCGGTCCATTTATGGATTGAAGCAAGCCTCAAGGTCTTGGAATATTCGGTTTGATGAGGTAATCCAGTCATATGGATTTACTCAATGTCCGGATGAGCACTGTGTATACAAGAAGATTAGTGGAAGCGTGGTGGTGTTTCTTGTGCTATACGTGGATGACATACTTCTTATTGGCAACAACAAGAAGGAGTTGTCGGACGTAAAGGCGTGGTTGTCTAAGCAGTTTGATCTGAAGGACTTGGGTGAAGCAGGATACATTCTTGGTATCAAGATCATTCGTGATCGTGAGAAAAGAATGATGTGCTTATCCCAGTCTTCATATATAGATACTGTCTTGGCCAGATTCAGTATGCAGAACTCTAAGAGAGGTACATTACCTTTCAGACATGGAGTACCTTTATCTAAGGAGTTGTCTCCTTAGACGACTGAAGAGATAGAGGACATGAAGACAGTTCCTTATGCTTCGGCAGTAGGAAGTCTCATGTATGCAATGATGTGCACTAGGCCTGATATTAGCTACGTCGTAGGCATGGTAGCGAGATATCAGAGTAATCCAGGAAGGGAACATTGGGCTGCGGTGAAACATATACTCAAGTACCTGCGAAGGACTAAGGAGTACATGTTAGTTTACCGTGCAGACAGTTTGTTTTCGCTGGGTTACAGCGATTCTGATTTTCAGTCAGATAGGGACGAGAGTAAGCCAACCTCAGGTTATGTGTTTACCTTAAGAGGTGGAGCCATTTCATGGAGGAGTGCTAAGAAAAAATGCGTAGCAGAGTCCACTATGGAAGCCGAGTACATCGCTGCCTCTGAGGCAGCGAAAGAGGCAGTTTGGCTCAGAAACTTCTTGGTGGACTTAGAAGTGATTCCGAGTTTGCCACGTGTTATTACCATGTACTGTGATAACAGTGGTGCAGTAGCAAACGCAAGGGAACCACGAGCCCACATAGCAAGCAAACACATAGAGCGCAAATACCACCTTATCAGAGATATTGTGGCAAGAGGAGAAGTTGAGATCACCAAGATTGCATCAAAAGACAACCTAGCTGATCCTTTTACGAAGAGTTTGCCGGAGAAGGTCTTCGCCAAACACGTAGAGGGAATGGGAGTGAAATGTATGGTGATAGAATCGACATAGGTCTTTTAGGATACGGATTGATAGGACTATACTAGTAAAGCGGCAGCTTTAAGTATAAGTGGGAGATTGTTGGTGTTATATACTTGAGCTTTGCTTTAGTGGATATTACACTTGTTATTTCTTGATGAATGAGAATTATGTTTGGTTAAATAAGTTCCACGTTCTGTTGTTTTGCATGTAGATAAGTGGGTCGTCATCGGGCGTACCAAAGATCACTATATCAGTTACTTGCGAAACATGAATCGTTGGTTCACAAACTAGATGGAATTGAACAACCCATCGGAACGGTTGTAGTGTTAACCGTACGGTTTGTCTTGATCGATTAGTTGTACTAGTACATTTATGTATTGAACAGGATCCCAGAGAGGGATGTTCGTTTTATACTGATCGTCGTAAATGAACTAGGCCTCAGTTAATTATTGCGTGCTCTTAACCCGTAAGATATTAAATAGGCATGTGCACATAATTGTTATTGCTTTGATTCTTTGGGTGAGATCCAAGCTGGGTCGACATACTTAATGAATTGGGTAACAACATTATGTCTTCGATGTGCTATTAGGATATTTACGGTCACCATGTGCGTTAGTATGATGATGTCCCCGAAGTGAGTTCATGAAGGAATATTATGCTAAACCCTGCAGGTGGATTTATTCCGGCATAATATGAATGCTATGAGCGAGCGCTAGCTTCGATAATATAATATATTAATTAATTCTTGATTATTAGTGATCGAATTAATTAATGGACATTATAACTTAAACATGGGGAGGTAAATCGGATAATTATAATAAGGAGTCTCAAATGTAATTTGGGATAGGTGAGGGGAGTGCAATAATATTATTGTCGTGGACTTTAATATTATTAATATATTAATTGTGGGTTGTTCCACAGTATTAATATATTAGAAGCCCTTATCCTATTCTCCTTAGTGTCCCTACTGTAGCTCTATATATACAGCATTAGGCTCATGGAAGAGAAGAACACAATCCCACATCCTTGGGAATCACGCCGCCCTCTCTCTCTCTCTCTTCTAAGGAGTTCTTCTATTTCTTGTGTTCCACTGATACAAGATCTAGAAAGCTGTTTGAGAATACAGTAGAAGATCTTAAGGTATATAGAGATTCCAATCATACATCCAAACCGGAGACAAAAACCAGCAAGTGACCATACCACGACGACCAGGACGACGAGACGAAGAGATCGCCGTCGAGATCGCCGCCGCACGCCACCGCACGCGCCCACACGCGCAGCCGGGAGTTCGCTGCTGCTGGGAGTCACTCGCGCGCGTGAGAGCGCGTGGAAGCTCCGATTTCCGATCGGTCAACGCCGTTGACTTCGCCGTGACGTCAGCTTTCTGGATTGGTCAAGTTTGTTCGATTCCGAGAAGATTTGATTTGTGGTCAACTGTTCGGGCCAGCCAGATCTACATTTTAAGCAGTAAGTTTTCTTCATCAAACCTTTAGATCCGCTGCGCATAGGTTTATGTTGAATGTTTGTCCGTGATTTGTGCATATCGAGATCCTCATGGGTTCCAACAGCAAGGTGGGATGTCGACGGGATCAAGACCCATTTTTTCAAAGGTTTTTAGCATCAAAATGCTTGAGTAGGCCCCGGTATCGACCATGACACGTTGGATCGGGATCCCACATATTAGAACGGTGATGACGAGTGCGTCGGAATGAAGGTGTGCAAAATGATTCGCATCTTCCATGTTGAAAGTAATGGGGCAGTTCCGGGCATTGAGAACGTCTCGCAGATCGGTGGTAAAAACATGTTTGCCTGAATTGTAAGCTTACCGAGCATAGGCTTTGATTTGTCGATGGGATGAGGTACCTCGGGAATTATTAGTATTTACTCGATGAACGGTGATTTGCATCGGGCTGGGAGATCGGCTTCGTTTAAGTCCTCGGGAGTTTCCGGTTGATTCAACATTGAGTATTTCCGAAGAGAACATGAACACTTCTTTATCTTCTTGCCGGATTCGTTTTGGCGTAACACCTCGGTCTTCATCCTCATCTTCATCATAAGGTTCAATTTGACGTTCCGCCCCCCGTTTCTGGGTATCAGAGTTGCGATAGAACTTCCTGAGTTGTGGATGACCGATTAAACGTAATAGGGCAGCTAACAAGCTTAAACACTCATCGGTGTTGTGCCCCGGTGATTTATGATAGTCACAATACCGAGATTTATCTAGTTTTTCTTCAGGCATCCGAAGTGGTTTAGGATCGGGCAGGATACCTTTTCCTTTGATCTCTTCATAGATGGTGGCAGCCCCAGCTGAATAAACGGTTTGGTAACCGGATTTCACGTCGGTAGCGTACTGTTTTCGGGCCGCCCTAATTTCGGGGTCGTTGGCGTTTCCCAGGGGGTAACCTCGAAATTGAGCCTTGTTTTGCTTATCAAAGGATTTGTTTTTCTTCCTGTCATCGGTTCCCGACTTGGATGACTTCGGATTGAAATTAAAATCGGGGACCGACATTGCTTCCTCGGCAATAATATGTTGCTGGGCTCCGGCAAGGAATTCCTGGAAGGTGTTTGGCTTGTTCTGACATAATGTCCAGCGAAAAATAGAATTCGGTGTTAGTACCGCAATAGCCATAACAAGCAGGGTTTCGGGACGACATGGCTCCATATTCTGAACTCGTTCATTAAATCGAGCAATATAATCCTTGACACTTTCATCATCTTTTTGAGTTACATTTGCAAGAGACTCTTTCGGAACCAAACAAACTTGGGCCCCAATGAAATGAGATCGGAAAGCCGACCTCAACTGTTGCCACTTCCAAATTGAATGAGGGGGCAAAGAGTGGTACCATTTTTGAGCTCGAGGCCCCAGAGTGAGAGAAAACATGCGACACCGAAGTGCGTCCGAGGCCCCATGGAGGTCCATCCATGATGTATAATGACCGAGGTGTGAGTCAGGATCCGACGTTCCATCATATAATCCGATTCGAGGAACTTTAACTTTTCTCAATACAGGCTCCGAGGTGAGCTCGGATGTTAAAAGGGAATCGGCTTCTAAACATACATGCGCCGAAGTGGAGGCTCGTCGTGGAGGATCTTCCTGTGCCCTCTATCGACTTTCCAACTCGGTGATTCTTCGTCGTAACACTTCTAATTCAATAAATTCTTGCCGAGTTGACCGATTTCTTTCAATTCGCTGACGGAGGTCTGTTCGAGCCAGATGAGAATGAGCCTGAGGTCGCGCGGGTGGTGGAGAACGCCATGATTGTCCCGATTGACTTTCAGCAGTTTCTTCATGAGGGACCACCGGAGGAGTGCGCGCTGTCTCGGCGTGTCGCACTACACGTTCTGGGTTCGGAGGCGATGTTCGACTACGAGGCTGAGACGTGGTGTGAGAAGTAGTTCTGTCACCGTCTCATCGGATAGACGGATTTCTCAGGTTTGTAGGGGTAGTAGGGATGATAGATTGTCTCGGCGCCATTGTTGACATCCCGGGAACAGTTTGAGCCATCAAGGCGGCAAACCCACGCGCGAACTCCAGATTTTGAAATAGAGTGGTATAATCAGGTAGGTTGGGTATTGTCGTAGGACGCCTGCTAGATTGATTGCTACGACTGTGTCCTTCGCGCGACGTATGAGCGCGATGATCTGAATGGGACATGTTTAAAATGATTGATGTGGCTAAGAAGCCAAGGATTGAAGATTAACCTCAAACAAATGATGAGGCCCTTCCTCTAGCGCCAAATTGTTGTTATGTGATTGTTAAAAAATGATTGTTGAAATGATTTATTATGTAGTTTGAGTAATTTGGGACGTTAAACATGCTATCAAAACACAACGATGGCCCCGGTCCGAGATGAACCGAGGTGAAAAGCTACAGTGAGCTGTTACGTGTTTCTCGTAAAATAATTGGTTCAGGAATCCCCTGTACAAGTATCAGATGCTGCTACTTATAGTAACTTTTTTGGGATACATATCGGGATTCGTGTGATGCCTTTTTCATAAAGATACTTTTTATGGGCGATATTGTCAGCGGGCCCCACTTGAATGATGGAAGATCTTGTGGTTTGTAGAGATGGCGCGTAGGTGCCTTGTCACCAGCTTCGGGAATGGTGACCTCAGTTCATGGGGACTTCGGTTTAAGGTAACCTTGGCTCAGAATGACCTCAGCTTGATGATCACCTCAGTTTTATATGATCAGGCCGGTTTAGTAGGCGAACCGGGATGATTGTGGACCATATCGGTGCTGGTAATAATCCACCCAAAGTGCAGTTTGAGGTTGGTAATTTCAGATTACCGAATCGGATGATAACATCGAATTTATCATAAAACCCATACTTAATAAAAATTAAGACTTAAGGGTTTTAATCGATTTTTTTCGTCGACTTGGACCTCTCTCATTTTTGCAAATAGGACTCGAAAAATAATTTGGAGTCTCGGGACTTAAAAATATTTTCCCAAATTTCTGGTTTCATATAATATTTTTGAAATTTATAACAATGCGAACAATGGGTTCCGAAACTCAAAATAGGCCTAAAAACTGAATTGGGCCGAGCTGCCAAATACTTGCCAAAGACTGCCCCACATTTGGGCTTTACACACGCGATTTGGGGCAGAAATCATGCGCATATTGGGCCTGCCAACAGCTGGACATACGGTTGGGACATCGGGCTGGGGCGCAGGCTGACTGAGGGCTTTGCGGGTTTCAGGCTGGGTGAGATAACGGGCTGCCCGCAGGCTGATTTTGGGCCATACGGCTAGCGCGCTGGAGATGGGAGTTATTAATATAAAAAATTAATGGCTACACAAGGGGAGGGTTCGAACACGCGACCATATACACAAACATGCGTGTTGGTCACCATTGTACCACTCGATCCGTCATTAATTTAAATGAACTCAAATATCTCTGAATATAAAAATGAGGCCTATGACTGGAAATAAAAGTACAGAGCCTGGGACTGAAAATCACAGAAACTGTTAAGCGAAAACAACACCGGGGCTGAAAATCGACGACCAAATTTCACGACCACATATCTAATGGTAACGGGATTCGAGAGATTATCAGCAATAACATATTCTTGGAGTCTCGAAATATATTTTTAACAACAGTTTTGGCTCGACAATGAAACAACTAAATATAAAAACAAAATGAACGATCGGTGGTTCGAATGACCCGAACAACCTAACGACGGCTCGAAACAACAAAACGAGACCCCGTACTTATATAAATTTGTCACTATAATGTAACGGTATTCACGTTTATAAAATCGAGAGTTCCAATCATCCCCGAAAATTCACGAATATACGAAATATATATACGAACATACGAATCAACAAATAAACCAAATTCGAAACTCAACGAAACAATTCAACACGAACGAAAACAACCGAAATAATAACATCCTGAACAACATTTATGAGGGGGTTCGAAAAGGTTACCCATCTTCGGGAATATCGGAAAAGCGGGTCGGACGAACAACGGGACCCGAAAGCTCGAAGAATGGCTCGACGGACGGTTACTGCTTGCTCACGAACAGCCCGCTGGAGTCTTTCGGACGGACTGAGGCTTCTTTCAAACTCAGAAGGACGTCGTCTTCGGGCTTGCTTGACGGTTCGACGGCTGAGGTCTGCTGCTCCTCCCGACGTACGGTCGCTGAGGCTCGGCGATGGAAGTTTCCGTCAGACGTGACGATGAAGGTGAGCTGAACGGCAGCGGTTGCTCAGAGGCGGGATCACTGGCGATGGATCGACCAGTACTGCTCTCTTCGCAAGAAATTACAGGTATGCGATTGTAATAATTTTTTTTAAAAAAAATAACGAGGAAGATAGGAACAGAGGAGATCAACTTTTCTCTTCAAGGCTGCTGGAACTCATCTGGCGAGTTATATGCGAGAGATAAGGGTTGAGAACGTGCGATCGTGCGAGAGATTTCACCCAAAGCAATCGCAACGGGATTTTGAACAAGGAGGACTTGGTCGTCGCGGAAGGAAAGAACAGATTATCTGATCGGGTATTAAGCACATGAAAATGATCCATTATGGGCTAAGATGATCTAGATGCATTAATTAAGGATTTGGGAAAAGGATAAATATCTCAACTTGGGCCAAAAATCAATAAAGAGTTGGGCCAAGAAATTAATTACATTGGGCTGGAAATAGAATGGCAAAAGGCCGATGAATTAAATCGCTTCGGGCCGAAATAAAATATACGCGATAATAAGAATTCCCGAGATATTCGATCGACGGCAAGTAATAAATTAATTCGGATGATACATATACATATTACACACAATAATTATTTATTTAATTATAATATAACATTTAGACAATTAGTATTAATAATAGTTATATTACTAATAAAATCAAATAATAGCAAATTGACATTTAAGAACAATAATAATAATAGTACTAAAGACAATTAATAATAGCAATAAACAATAATTATTCCCAAATAATTTACAATAAAACGGGGTATTATAGTCTATTCACCTTACAAAGAATTTCGTCCTCGAAATTCGAAAATAAAACTAGAAAACAATAAAATACAAAGGGAATATCAAAACAGGATATTTGGTACTCCCTCCGATTATCGGTCTCTTTTCTTCCAAGTTGTCTCGCCCTCGACTTGACTTGTTCGAGATTTATAATAAAACTGATATAGCCTGGTCGTAACCTCTTTTCTTACCGCGAAGCTCCTCACTTCACGTGGTAACTACATTTTCAATTGAGTATAACAACTCATAAAGATAAAACCTCCAAGCAAGACTTAACACTTAGGTCATTGCAATACACGTGAAAAATTCCTGGAATCGACATGCATTTACACGCTAAAGACTTGGCAGTTGTGACATGAATGGTTGGCCTGGCATGCGGCAACGCGGCACGCTACATGCGGCACACTACACACGGCACTTCCTACGACTCGAGTTGCATCATCGAGCATGGCACGCCTGTGCGCGGCACCAACACACAGTACACCTGCACCATCTGCATCCAGTAGCTACGGTTCATTCCTTATTGGCTGTTACATCTCCCCTGTGGATACATACTCGAAGATCAGAAATCCCCTAGTGTTTTGCTTCCCTAATCCAAACATCGATATCCAAGTACTCCGACTAAAAGATGTCATGAAACAAAACTCTAACTTAACGAGAACAGTTAAGGTTCAACTTAAATTTAGGATTCTTAACTCCATCAGATATCGCATTCTATGCAGGGAAAATAAATGACAAATGGAATTTCCAAATTATAAAAATCGATAAACCAATAGGAGTCTCAAAGCGAAATTCAAACTTGTCTTGCAAACAAGAAGGAAATATCAAGGTTTGATAAAGGTCAAGAGAAACGAAGTTCTAATGAAAGAAAGAACAAATAAACATCTCGTGTTTGATACTCGGTCAGTCGCTCAACCTTGGTTCTGCTCGGTTACAAACTGGGCCATTGTGTATACCCGTGCTCGACCTCCTTCGCCATATCTTGGTTGGGCCTGCTGATGCTGCTGTTGAATCTGTTGTTGAGATAGCGGCGGGAGAAGCTGTTGCTGTTGTTGCTGGTGCGGCTGCTGCTGGAATGGTTGTTGTCCTTGTAGTTTAGGGCACATGCTACGGAAATGTCCTGGGCGGTGACAGTTGTAGAAGACCTTCTGACTGTACCAACAGTCGCCTGGGTGGTAACGGCCACAGTTATGGCACTTCATATTCTGTCTCTGAGCGGCTTGGCGGTCGTCACGTCGGGCATTCCCTCCACGCTTTCCCTCCCGGTTGTCCTGGTGGGTATCGGCCTTTCTCTTGCCCGAACTAGAGCCGGACGCAACAGCTGAGATAAGCTGAATCATAGAGGTCAGCTGACAGGATGGGGTAGCCGCCCTCTGGGCATTCTGGCAAACCTCTAACTCGGTGGCTCGGCGGACCATTTCGGAGTAAGGCAGAACTCGTGGCCAGTCAGGGTGTAGAGAAGGTCAGGGCGAAGACCATCACGGAAACGAAAGGCCATCTTCTGGTCGGTATCTACGAGCATCGGGGCAAACACACACATACGGGTGAAGTCGCGCTCGTAGACATTGTATTATCCCGTCATATTGTTAATATAAATTACACGTTTAGTTCCGAAA